TTTGCCCACCCCCAGTGCTGCTGGTGCAGCCCAGTCCCAGCTTTTGGGGGAATTTCTGCCCTGAAACAGCAGCAGCAGGTGCTCCCCAGCACTGCCAGCCCCGGAGCAACCTGATGCCCAAGTCCTCTGGGTTCATGCAGGGACTAAATTTAAACCTTGGCAAGGATGAGAGGAAAGCTTCCCGCAAGAGCTGGGCTGGCACTTAACCCTTCACTGCCCAGCTGGGCTGGGCTTGCAGGTGGCATTTGTGCCCACAGGGGACCTGCCATGGGCAGCGCTCACTGGTGGGCTGGCCTTGTGCAAGAAAGAGTGTGTATGTGGGATTTCAATCTCCCAAATCCCTTTCTTCACGGAAAGGGTGGACAGGCACTGGCACAGACTGCCCAGGGCAGTGGTGGAGTCACTGTCCCTGACCTGGCTTCTCCACGGGCGTGTCTGGGCCATCCCAACCTCCCACAGCACCCACTGGGAGCTGGGAAGGGGATGGACACTGGATGGACAGGGGGTGGACACTGGATGGACAGGGGGTGGACAGGGGATGGACAGAGGATGGACAGTGGACAGACACCGGACAGACAGCCGGGTGTCCGGTGCTGCTTTGCTGCCACCCTCGCAGCCTCCGGTGTTGTTGTGTCACTTGTCACAGCTGTTGTCATTGTGACCATTGTGGTTTTAGCAGGACCTGGGTGTCAGAAGCAGCAGCAAGGACTGTGCTGAGCACGGTGTTGGAGTGAGCTGGGGGGGCTCACTTAGACAAGAGAAGGATCCAGGGAGAGCTCAAAGCCTCAAGGGGCTCCAGGAGAGCTGGAGAGGGACTGGGGACAAGGGATGGAAGGACAGGACACAGGGAATGGCTTCATACTGATAGAAGGCAGAGTTAGGGGGGATATTGGGCAGGAATTGTTCCCTATGAGGACACTGAGGCCCTGGCACAGGGTGGCCAGAGCAGCTGTGGATCATCCTGGGATAGTGGAAAGTGATGATGATCCCTGGATCATCCTGGGATAGTGGAAAGTGTCCCTGCCCATGGCAGGGGAGTGGAAGGGGGTGGTCTTTGGGGTTCTTTCCAACACCAATCTGTGATTCTGTGATCCCAAGGATGCCATGAACAACCTGTCTGGGGGTGCTGTGGGATGGCAGCAGAACCAACCTGCCAAGCCAGGCCATGCTCAGCACCTGCAGCTCCTCGGGCTGCTCCTGGGTTTGTCCCTCGGTCTGGAGGCCATGGGGAGACCCCCGGGCTCCTCCTGCCAGCCCCAAGCAGCCCCTGCCAGCACCCCGGGCAGGTCGGGCTGTGTGTGGGAGCACAAACACAGAGCAGAGCAGCGAGTGGACCCCGGCTGAGCCAGACTTGCTCATTAAACACTGATTTATGTTTAAGCCAGTGTGATACTGCCTGTGGCCTCACCACTGCACTTGCTTATTAACCTGGATTTCGTGCCAGCTCGGTACGTGCTCACCTCAGTGCAGGCAAGCCTGGCATGTACAGTGAGGAGGAGGAGGATGAAGGCTGCTTTTAGCTGCTGAAAGCAGGATGTGCCTTGCCCACGCTGGAGCTACTTTTTGTAACTCTGGAGGAGCAGGAAACACCGGCCCAGCTTGGCAGGGGCTTCCAGAGCCACCTCGGGGGTTCAGGAGGGATTTGGGGATTCGGGACACGGCAGCAGCCCCTGAGAGCTCAGGCACTGGGACACCCCAGGCGCTGTGTGACACAGGGACCCACCCGTGCCAGGCTGTCCCAGGGCTGTCCCAGACCCCGTCCTGTTCCAAGCCCCACTCCCAGACCCCTGCTCCTGCCCTCGCCCCATTCCCTGTCCCATGTCCCTGTTCTGTTCCCAGCACCCGTCCCATTCCAAGCTCCATTTGGAGCTCTCTGCTCACTCCCTGCTCTGTTCTCAGCCCTCAGTCCCGTTCCAAGTCCTGTTCCCAGTCCTGTGTCCCGTTCCCAGCCCTCTGTCCCATTCCCATTCTGAGTCCCAGTCCCATGTCCTGTTCCCAACCCTCAGTGCCGTTCCCAATCCTGTGTCCCATTCTCAGCCCTTGTTCCTGTTCCCAACCCTTGGTCCCATTCCCTTGTCCTGTGTCCCATTCCTAGTCCCGTGTCCCATGTCCCATGTCCCATTCCCAGTCCTTTGTCCTGTGTCCCATTCCCAGTCTTCGGTCCTATTCCTATTCCCAGTCCTGTGCCCCATGTCTGATGTCCCATTCCCATTCCCTTGTCCTGTGTCCCATTCCCAGTCTTCGGTCCTATTCCCATTCCTAGTCCCATGTCCCATGTCCCGTTCCCAGTCCCATTCCCAGCCCCATGTCCCATTCCCAGTCCCTTGTCCTGTGTCCCATTTCCATTCCCATTCCCAGTCCTCGGTCCCATTCCCATTGCCGTTCCCGTTCCCATTCCCAGCCCTCGGTCCCATTCCCATTCCCAGCCCTTAGCCCCATTCCCATTCATTCTCATTCATTCCCGTTCAGGTTCCCGTTGGGAGCCCGCACAGGCCCCGCCCCTACAGTGAAGGCGGGAACACAGGCCCCGCCCACAGCGAGGCCCCGCCCACACGGGCCCTCCCTCCCCTCACACAGAGGGGGGGCTCAGTCCCCGATCCCCATCCCGATCCCAATCCCAATCCCCATCTCAATCCTGATCCCAGCCCCGATCCCAATCCCAATCCCAATCTCCATCCCGATCCCAGCCCCGATCCTGACCCCAATTGCTCGGCCGTGTCCCATACCCCATGTCCCTCCCCCTCGCAGGCCCCGACCCGTCCCCGCCATCCCCCTCAACCCTGCCGGCGCCAGGCTCGGAGCACACGGACAGGCACAGCGATGTCACGTCTTTAATTTAAAAATAAATAAATATATATACACACACACAAACCGGCGTTCAAGCGCTTGGTGCAGCCAGGAACACCCTCTCCTCCCGTCAGAGCCCCACAGACAGAATCCCAAATACCCTTTGGGTTATTTTAGCGATGCGTTTCCACATCGGCGGCTCCTGAGAGGATTTTCCTTCTCCCTGTGGAGCACAAACACAACTTGTCCAGTTTGTCACCCACGCCACATCCCTCCCTCACAGCACCCTGATCCTGCTTAGGAACAAAAAACACTTATTGCTTCTGGGGATGTTTTTCCCTCCCTCCTGCATTTCCCAGCCGATTGTGCTTCCCACAGGAGGTGTCCATCAGGTTCTCGAGGTCTTTGGATGAAAGGTACAATCTGGTTTCAGTGCAAAACGCTGTGCAGGAGCTGGAGCTCCGTGCAGGACATTGTGAGTCCGGGAAGTCGCTGGATTTTCGCTGGATTTTGTCTCCCTACCTGCATCCCTCTACAGCCTCACAGGAATGACAGGGAAGATCCCAACCCTGCAACGAAGTCCAACCATTTTAGTAGATTTCTAAGATATTCTACAAGCTATTTAATATATAAAAAGCAACATTATTTTAACTTTTTGTACACTCGTGCTCAAAAGTGGGGAAATACCAGAATTAAGGCTGCCTGTTCTGCCAGCCACCAAACTGGAATCATCACAAATTCTTGCCCTTAAAATCTGGCACTAAGAATGTTCCACACCAACCCCCTCAAAATGCCCTTTTCTCGGTGCTTCTCCTGTTTCAGCTACCTCAAAAAATTCTGCTTAACTTCCCCATGCTCCTAACAAGGTTTCCTACAAATGGGGCAAAAAAATGCAATTTACAGAGTCACTATGTTGATTTTTTTTCTCTTTTATGACATCCCACCACAGCACTGTTGCTGTATCTGGAATGTTCTCCCAGCTGGGATGTTTAGGGCTCATGTACAGAAGCACCAGACCTCAAACCAACCCATCACCTTTGTGCAGACCCCAGAAAAATAGTTTTTATTTTTTTTTTTCAAGCTTCTTTTTTCCTGCCAAACCTCTCAGGGCTGCATGGATGGGACAGGGACATGGAGGGGACAACACTCCCAGGTCCATCCAGTGGGACTCCTACACCATTGCACCAGTGCCCAGCACACTCTGAGCTTTAATGGCAGGTTTAATCCTGGCATTTCCCAAACTTCTCAGCATTTGCTCCCTAGGTTTCAGCCAAGGCCACCTGTGCATCCTGTGTGACTCGAGTTTCAGGCAAGTGGCAACAGCAGAACCTTGCTTAGGTGTCCCTGACTGCCATTCCAGAGGGGAGCATTGCTGCTCTGGGAGCCCCCACCCTGGGCAGGAATTCCCTGGAAAAGCAGCTCATTCCATGGAGGGCACACACCAGCCTGCAACAGTGGCCTAACTGTGGTCTAACACTGGCCTAACTCTGGTCTAACTGTGGTCTAACACTGGCCTAACTCTGGTCTAACTGTGGTCTAACACTGGCCTAACTCTGGTCTAACTCTGGTCTGCTGCTCACAAAGACAACCCAGCACCAACCTACCCTTCAAGGCCTGGCTGTGTGAAGGAGGATCAAGAAAAACCAGGACGTTGCCACATGGATCTTCTTCTTTACAATATCATGTCTAAAGTGAAACATTCATAGCTGCTCAACGGAGTAAAAATATGCTACATGAGAACTGTACTGGAAAAAAGCAGGGCCCTGGGGAGAGCTGGGGGAGTGTGCAGATAAAAATCAGAATGGAACAGCCAGCTTCAAAATATGCCACTGGAAACAGAGGAGGGAATGAGCACAGTTCTTCCAGGCAGCCACTGGAGAATGGGTGCAATTCCCAGACTGCCATGCTGGTGTCAGGATGGGCACAGCCCTCCCTTGGAGAGCTGGGAATGTGCCTCCCCTGGGGCAGGGACTGTCCCTCCTGCACTGGAACCACCCCAGCTCTGTGACACAGCCCCGAGGGACACGGGGAGGTGACACCCAGCCCCAGCACGGCGATCCAGGGAGCTGCAGATCCACGGGGAAAGGCAGGAAGCCGAGAGGAGCCAGCTCTCCTGGGAAGCACACAAAGCCTGGAGGGCACACAAAGCACCCAGGCAGACGGGTCCGAGCTCAGGGCGTGCCCTGGGGAATGAATTTACAAAGTGCCACTGGTCCTTGGAACCAAATCGAATGTACAGGATATATTACAGCAAACAGCAGCCCTGCAGCTCGTGCTGGCCCCTGCGGAGGGACTCCAATATCCAGACTCTTTACAACAGACTCCTTCCCTTTTCACACGGAGGAAAAAAAAAACCTTAAGTTAAAACAGCAATAAATAAAAGTACAGAAGGTGTGTGTGTGCGTCCTGGTCAGCCCCCTTTGTGCATCCCAATCAGACTGGAGAGCTTCTCACAGTGCTCAAGTTTCAGGGACTCTGCTTTCTGTTTTAACCTCTCATCTCTGTAGAGCTTGGCCAAATTGGACAAATCAGACTCTGAAAAATGAAAGAAAAAAGATGCATTAGGGTGAAACCCTGAGCCTCCTTTAAAGAACTGTTTCTAAGTGCTTTGTTATCCTTGTGGCACTTTTAAATTTTAATTGTGGTGGGTACTGAAGCCAGGAAGGTGAACAGCTACCCAAGGGACTCGCCTGAAAGGCCTCCCTGCCCTTTCATTAACAATCTCAAATGTACTTTGCATTTTGTTCCCCTTCCTTCTCAAAAGCCACATACAACCGAAATAATCCCATTGTTTAAATTATTTCCTCCCAGTAATTCACAGAAGTTTCTTTTGCTGATTAGCTGAGGAAGTCTTAATATAAGTTTCTCCCTGCAGAATAATTTGGCTGCAGGATTAGATGCACCGAGGAGAACAGCAGTAATTTACTTCTGAAAAGGTCAACATCTCCGTAAGCACAGGCTACCTGATGACACTCCATTTTTCAAAGAGCTTTTATACACCTTACAAGCCCCTCATTCTACAAAATTATTCAGAGTGGAAAGAACTTCAATAGATCCTTTCATGCCTTCTGTCCCTGTCCCACTGAAATTTAAAGCCATTTAACCCTCCTCCCACTCACTGAAAAGCTTCACAAACTGACAGGCAGGAAGAGCTCATTTTAGAGCAGGAATCCATTTACAGGTTTATAACCAAAATGCCACTCAAGCAGTGCTGGGCACAGCCTTGTCAAACCTCCAGCAAAATCCAGGCTCAGGTAATTGTCCCTGAGCCCAGAAATTGTCCCTGGAGTTGTGCACTAGAGAATCTCAGTTTACATTTATTCAATTGGGGAAAATTGTTCCCTGCACTTTTGACAGCGTTCATTCCATCACATTTGCTCCTTGTGGGTTTCAATCTTTCCCAGAGTAGTTCCTTTGAAGCCTTTTCTTCAAGGAGGTGCTGAATTCCAACTGTATTTACATTGGATATACAGAAGAAATTCCTCCCTGGCAGGGTGGGCAGGGCTGGCACAGGGTGCCCAGAGAAGCTGTGGCTGCCCCTGGATCCCTGGAAATGTCCAAGGTTGGACTTTGGGATTTGGAGCAGCCTGGGATGGTGCCATGGCAGGGGTGGCACTGGATGAGCTTTGAGGCCCTTTCCAATCCAAACCATTCCATAATTCTGTGATACTTATCCTGATTTTCAGTTGCCTCTTTGTGACCTCTCTGCAGCCTCACTTCACAACTGAGCCATCCCAGCTGAACCATCTCCTGTAAAACCTGGGATGTGCTTTTTGAACTTAACTGTGCCACAGATTTCAGAAGACCCAAAGCCACAGCACACCCAACTTTCACATTCTGCTCTGCTGAGGAGTCTGCTGCAGCACTATAAAACTGACTGGCTGAACAAGGTACAACCAATCCAATATCACTTATTACCAAGGTTATGTTACCAATATTTTAAAGGTTTTCCTCAAGGTTGTTGGACACCAGGTAATGCTTTTCAAGTCTTAAAATCAAGGACTTTAAACCCCAAACTGTTCCTGAACTACTCAGCTCTGTCTGTTTTGCTGGTGCTCAAGGGAAACGTGTCCTCAGTAAACACAACAAATGCACTATAAATAGACATTCAACTGACAAAGAGCTCACCACACCGAGTCCAACACTTCAGCAAGGATTAAGGGAGCAACACTGTGCAGCAACAGCTGACTAAGAACTGCCTCAGCATCTGCAGAACCTTTTCCCCAGCACTCCATCCTGTATTCAGGGGTTATTTTTATAAACATGACTGTCCTAAGGTCAGGCCGGTCTCAGCTATGGCCTGGATGGGAAGCACTCTGAAAATGTGAGTTTTTAAATGACACTGTGGCCTTAGGCTATGCTAACTGTGGCTGTTGTAAATGTATTTGCAGCTGGTGACTAACACAGTCCCTGAGTGCACAGAGCTCTGGAGGAGCAGGGCTTGGCACTGCAGGCTGGATCATCTCCCCTCTCTGATCCTGGGCTCTCTCAGACTCACAAACCCTGTCCCCTCGCTGGGGCTGGGCTCTCCTTACTCCAGCTCTCTGTGAAAAGTCACAGTGTGGTGACTTTCAGCTGCACCAGGTTAATTCAAGGGAATTTCCTGTAAGAAATAAACTCTCCCCTTTTAGCAAATGTACATTTATGAGTATGAACATCCATTATCCCTGGAGGCTGCTCCTGCCATACTCAAAGTTCACAAATCAAAAACTTCAGGACTTTGATGGTCTTATATCTTCTTTTCCTTTCTAACCTCAGAGCCTACATCTTTTTATTTCTCTTTAAAAGCACGATTGATAACTTTTATAGTAAAATAAGCCAAAACAATCCTTCCCATCAAATACCTGTAAAGAACCTGGAGTCAGCAACACTATTGTCACCCGTCCTTTAGGATTAAATGAGTCTTCTTTAGATAAACTGAAAACAAAACTTTTCAGCAGCGGGCTGAGGATTGTTCTGATAATTGCACAGAGCAATTGAAAACCCCCACCAGTGTGTGAAATGCTGCTCCTGAGCATTCACAGACACAACTTGTTCCATCTTCCTTTACACACAGCACTACTCACTGCTGACTCATTTGAAGTTGATGAGTTCTTTAAGTGAATAAAATCAGTGAATAAAACCAGTCACAACATCCCAGCCTAAGCTCCTCCTTGTGATTTCTGTTATTTCTTACCATCCTGCAAGCAGCAGGAATTTACTGTCTCTTCAAATGAACCAGATGAGTAGCAATTAACAAGCAATAAAATATGGGGTTAACATGACTTTATTTGTGCCACTGATCCACTCGGGGCGGAGTGAAAATAACAATTTTGAATGCTCACATCTGTGTTCTTCCTTTCTGAATTCAATTCTTGTTTTTGTAAGAGTTGAAAATGGTGAAAAACATGATCTCCAACTCAGCTAAAGATAGAAAATGCAAATAACACCCAAACCACGGAAGCATGTTTTGAAAACTGACACCAGGAACAGAGCCCAGGGAGCCAAGAGCACCTGGACACGCTCTGGACTCTCCTGGAGAAATGTGAAGGAAAAAGTTACAGGAACTTCTTGTGGAGCCAATCAAAGCAAAACTGATTCTGCTCCAGCAAAGGAAACATAGGAATAGGTGATGTCTCAAGATCTTTTCCAGCCTAGCAATCTGTCAGGGCTACATAAATGTGGTGGGTTGAATGTTTCAAAACATCACTAAGAGTTGTTCAAGCATAAAACCTGAGCGGAAAAAAAGCGTCTCGAATGGTGAAGTCTACTTTTCACTCATCTCTCAGAATCACTTAAAATGGATTTTGACAGATCTCAAGAATAGCAAGTTCAGTGTTAAGAGCAGATGTGAGACACCTTAAACCAGTGCAAGGCTGAGATGTTACAAGGATTGGAAACTGAGGCTTAAAAACAGCAGAGCTTTGTGAGGCAGAACCACCCCCAGCCCCTGAAACACCCTTGGGACAGAAATAACTTACTTTGCTGTTTCTCCTTCCAGCAGCTGGTCTGAATGTAGTCTATGTAATCTTTCTCAACTGTTTTCTCAAGCTCTTGAAGTTCTGCTCCTTGATAATTCTTTTCAAAGTTTTTATCAACATAGTAAGGCACCTGCAAGTTCTCTGTTTCTCTGCTGACAACGTGGCCTATGGACCTGTGGGAGCAGCAGGGAGAAATCAGATGTTTCAGCAGCTCAGAACTCGAGAAATCAAGAGCTATTTCTCCATATTAGCATTTCCAGAGGAAAATATTTACAGCAATGCTTGTACAGTTCATTTCTGCAGGATTATGGCTCCCTCAACCATCCAGTCAGGAAATTACAATCTGGTGAACAGCATGAGCAGTACAAACAGAATCCACCCTCCTGCCACAACCATTGGAAAATATCCCAGGGTTTATAAAAACTTAGGGCACAATGCAGTTGGATCTGGATTTTCCAATTATTTGGATCCTTTAGCAGAAATAAAATTTAGCAGGGGAGATTCCAGTTACACTTTTCTTCAGGGTTTTATAATCACCAGGAAACAAAGAGAAGCATGGTACAGGCTGGAAAATACCCTGTAGGAAGAATGAGCCCCTCTGACACAGTCACTGGGTTAAACCACACTCCTGGAGTTCATTTCCTTATTTGAGCCAAAATACCCAGGCCTCTGCTCGAATCACTGCCCACAGAGAGAGGCAGGCAGCCAAAACACAAAGGTTACATTCTACTCAAAGGAATCCTGCTTGCCCCTTTTGCCTGGATTCCTCTTTTCCTTCTCCTTCCCTGTGTCTCAGAGGTGTCCCCAATTTCTTTTAGTTTTTAGGCTGTTCAGTTGTTTGAAGGCTGTGATTTAGATGAAGATCCTAACTCTGAACCAGGCTCTGTCTCCCATCACCAGGAGAAGGGGAGGGAGTGAAGAAAAGCAGCTCAGCTGCTGTGGGGGCAGCGTGGGAGGTTTCACATGGGACTGGCAGATAGCAAAAACACTCCCTGGGGGAAAAAAAAAACCAAAAACCAACCCACCCTAAAAACACCAATCCACCCTCCTGTTCTTTTCTGAGGGCCTCACACTGACATTGTGTGGTAAAATGCTGAGGGGTGTTGGGCTGCTCTGGCAGATGGGAGGAGGGCAAGGCTGGGCCTGAGCAGTTTTAGTCCTGGAAGGGAACAAGGGACTGTCTGGAGCTGCTGCTTGTCCCAAACCTCCCAATCCCTCTCCTGTGTCAGCCTGGGCCAGCCCAGGTCAGCTCTGTCCCTCCTGCAGCCCTGGATGCTGAGAGCAGGGGGTTTTCCTCTGCCCCACAAGCTCCCAGTACAGCAGCTCTGGTGGGGTCCTCCTGCTCCCAGAGCCCACCAGCCCCCAGGTCTCTGCTCCTCTGAGAGGTTAAACCAGGGCATTTCAAGGCTTTAATGATTTGCTGAGCTTCCAATGGAATTCGTGCTCCAGAAAAGATTTGGATTTATACTGCAAACCACAGGTTTCATTTTTTAGCTGCTTTTCAGAGCAACCTCAGAGTTGCCACAGATTCTGGGGGTTGGTCAGATCAGAGGCTGACTGACATCCACACTCCCCATGTTGTATAACTGTGCAAAACCATTCCATGCCAGCTCAGTTCAGCATCCTGTGCACGAAAGCTCCCCAAATTTCACAGTGCTCAGAACTCACCAGTGCAGGCTGTTGCTATTCCCTTATCTGTTGCTATCCCTTCTCTAAAGAGCAGAACATTAACAGGAATTTTGCTATCAAACCCAACTTCCATCTGCCTCCACACTGCAAACAGCAAGAGCAGAAAAAATGTGGTTTTGAAGGACTTACGATTTGTAGAATAAGCTGTAGGGTGGGTTGGTGGCCATCAGCTGGGTGATAACTGACACTATTATGATGATAAAAACTGGCATCAACTGGATAAATGCAGAGTATGAATTCTGAAAAGTACAAGGATTAGCAGTCAAGAAAATACAGATGGAAAAAGGCATCTGTTCACAGAAGCCAGGCTATCAATCACAGATCAACAACAGCTTCAAAGAAAAAAGAGCAAGTACTCTAGGATTTTGAGAGGGAAGACATTGTAATTTGTAAGAAACCTTTATTAATAATATCAGAACACTCTTAAACACAATTTTCTTTCCATTATCTTCTCCTCTGCCCCTTCCTTCACAGTGCCCAGAGCAGTATTGTACCTGTCAGTGTCCAGTCCAGCCTGCAGGAACACCCTGCAATTCCCATGTGCAATTCCCTATTTTTTTAGAGGGTTTTCCTGTACCCTCCCAATTTGCTCTCATTTGTAAAAATCTCAGCCTCTGCTCAAGCCCTGCATTTGATGGCTGAGCACTGAAGGGTTAAGAGCTCCCATGCAGTATAACTTCAGACATTGGGGCTTTTCATTGATTGGATTAATTTAGCACAACAAAAGAGTGGAAACTATCAAAGATAAAGCACTGATCTTTCCCTCTGCTCCTCCATTCCTTTCTAAACTGGCTTTTAAATGCCTTTTCTCATCCAGAGGAAAATACAATATTCAGCTATTTAGGTTTTGCCCTCTGCCATGGGATAGCAACAAGGATTCCTGATGTGGGATTCACTGAGGTTGGAAAAGCTCTCCCAGCCCACGGAGTCCCAGCTGTGCCCCATCCCCACCTTGTCCCCAGCCCAGAGCACTCGGTGCCACCTCCAGGAGTTCCTGGGACACCTCCAGGGATGGGGATCCAACCCTCCCTGGGCACTTCCAATCCCTGACCACCCTTTCCATGGGGAAATTTTCCCTAAAATCCACCCTGAGCTCCCCTGGCCCAGCCTGAGGCTGTTCCCTCTCCTCCTGTCCCTGTTCCCTGTTCCCAGATCCCAAATCCCCCCGGCTGTCCCCTCCTGTCAGGGACTTGTGCAGAGCCACAAGGGCCCCCCTGAGCCTCCTTTTCTCCAGGCTGAGCCCCTTCCCAGCTCCCTCAGGAATTCTCCAGCCCCTTCCCAGCTCCCTCAGGAATTCTCCAGCCCCTTCCCAGCTCCCTCAGGAATTCTCCAGCCCCTTCCCAGCTCCCTCAGGGATTCTCCAGCCCCTTCCCAGATCCCTCAGGGATTCTCCAGCCCCTTCACAGCTCCCTCAGGGATTCTCCAGCCCCTTCCCAGCTCTGTTCCCTTCCCTGGACACATCCCAGCCCCTCAGTGTCCTTCCTGAAGTGAGGAGCTGGATTCACTTCCCCCAGCTTAGCTGTCTGTCAGCTGTACCAGGCTTTTATTTTCTCTAAGCCTGAGACCCACAAGGAAAAACTGATTTTCCTTGGAGAATGATCCCTGGAGGTTAACAGACTGTCTCCAGAGGAAGATCTTGCCAAGGCAGGTGCCAGGTGTGTATGTGCACTGACAACAAAGCACACCTTGTGTCTCCTCTGAAGTCTCAGCTGGCAGAAATGTGTCCCAGCCCATCCTGTCCCCAGCTGGAAGAGGCCTGTGCAGCCCCTGGCTGCTCATTTACTGAAGGATTAAATCCACCTTGAGGACAAACCACTGCTTCCACATCCATCACCAATCCTCATTTGGACTAATTGTTGTTGGGATTACCAAGCACTGGAGCTTGCAAAAAGCAAGCAAGCAGCAAAACCCTCAGTGACAGAAAACAGAAAGGCCTGAGGTGCTCCAAATACAAAAGATCTTTACAGCAGTGATTAACAACAGCAACCCGGTGACAAAGAAAACATCCCTGTGGCTGCTTGAGGACAAACACTGAGCACTCAAGCCTGGGAGGATTTGTTCCCTCACCCTGCTGAGGTGTTTAAATATTGAAAGTGAGGAGATGTCCCCTCCTGGCTACCTGTGGCCTGTGCTCCTCCTCCTCCGGCTCCTGTGTCCACGCCCTCTCAGCCCGGTGCCTCCGTGGGTAATAGTGAGCATCTCTGGCTACATTGGAGAACATGTGGATATTCCCTGTAAAAACAAAGCAGCACACACTCACGTTTCACCCATCTGCTACTCACCTGAATTCCTCACTTTCTATTCAATTATTCGGGTTTATACAGCCTGAATTACAGCTGGAACATCTCAGAGTAAAAAGCACAAAAACCATTTCAGAATTAAAACACCACCACGATGTTATTCCAAAAATCCTACCAGAGAAATTGCAGCGTGCTCCAATCCATCTTAATTTAAATCAAGCTGCAGAAACATGTTCTGATTTTTATGATTGTATCTCATATTTTAATGCTGTTCTTGTCACATTCACTTGCAAGGCTGTGGCAGGACAATGAATTTGCTTCACCAGGCTCAGGCTGTGAATTATGGGCTCCCATAATTATTGAATGTGGTCTTCTTCTACCCTCATTGCTAAGTCCTCTGCCTCCAAGCCATTAATAATTTCACTTAATTATTTCATAATAAAGAAAGAGGTTTTAAAAAGAGTAAAAAAGGAGAACAAATCAGGATTTTCTTTCTTGCACATGGAATGCAGTTGATTTATTTTAAAAAAATCTAAAATGAGGGAAAAATAGCATTTGCTGCTTCAATGTGAAGCTCAGGATCTGATTTTATCACCATATGAATATCTTAATAAGAGCTGTACTCTCCTCTTTTGAAATTCAGAATGTCTTTGTGTTAGAGAATTGAAATCTGTGGCTTATCATCACAACAGAAATGCAAAACTATTTTTAAGCCCTGGGGAAGATGTCACATTATTTTATACTCTTATCCCGTCCTTTATTTTTGAGTTTCCCAAAGAATCCTGCAAGAAACCTGGGCAAAGGTGACCCCTGCTATTGTATCAAAATCTCTGTTCCATTGCTTGTTCAAAGATTTTCCAAGCCCCAGGCATGTGTGCAGTCAGAGCTCCAACAGCGAGCCAAGACAGGCGGGCTCCAAGGAGGAAAGTTTCTTTAGGGAAAAAAGAAACTTTCTTTCTATCCTTCAACATTGCTCAGACAGGGTTTTATCAAGCTGTGAAAAGAAGCAGCCAGTGTGGGAAAAGAAGAATGGCTTTTATAGGAGTGCTTAGAAAAAAAAAGATTCCCAAATTTTAAGTTTCTCCAAGAATTTAAGGCAGCAGTTTCTTTTGTTCCATGTGCATTTATTTTTTAACAGAAGAACTTGAACTCTCTCTTCACTACAACTGAAAGACTCTGACACATGGAGATTCCTTTGAGTCCAATCACATTTAACATATTAAATTTAACTATTTTTCCATGGAATATACATAGAGAAGAACTGTTCAGTAAAAACAAAGCCATAAAGATGCCCACAAAGCCCAGAGGGGAACTCATGTTTAGTGCCAACACCCACTGCTAAAAAAATTTATTTTTATTTTCTAAGCCTTTGCTACTTTGGCAAAAATTCCCATTATCTCTTTTATGCCAGTCTGCCAAATAAACTCAGCACCCTAATTCCTCCCACAGCAACTCAAATTTCTAACCCTAACCCTAACCCAAACAAAAACTCTAACCCTAAGGCTAACCCTAACCCTGAGGCTAGCCCTAGCCCTAAGCCTAAGCCTAAACCTAAGCCTAAACCTAAACCTAAGCCCAACCCTAAGCACAACCCTAACCCCAACCCTAACCCTAACCCTAACCCCAACCCCAACCCTAACCCAACCCTAACCCTAACCCTAACCCAACCCTAACCCTAACCCAAACCCTAACCCAACCCTAACCCTAACCCTAACCCAACCCTAACCCTAACCCAAACCCTAACCCTAACCCTAACCCTAACCATAACCCTAACCCTAACCCCAGTCATAACACTAACCCTAACTCATACCCTAGACCTAATCCTAATCCTAACCCTAACTGCCTCCCCCTTGACTCTACACACAAATCTGGGGATAAATTACTGCAAAGCCCTCTTGGACAGAGGTGGTTCCTCCAGATTCTACTGGACTGACAATAACCCTAACCCAAACCCAATAACCCAAACCCAAACCCAAACCCAATAACCCTAACCCTAACCCAAATCCAATAACCCTAATGAAAATCCAATAACCCTAACCCAAACCCAATAACCCTAACCCAAACCCTGCACTCCAAGCATCCCTGTTCCCCACAGGCCCATTCCATGAGGGTGATATCCCACAAAGGGCACATCCAGGTGCAATTCCTTGCACAGTCAGAGATGGAAAAGCTGCAGACTCCAGCTGGAATTACACCATGCTGAGGCTGGCTTTGCAAATCCCCTGCTGCCAGTCTGGGATCTGAGGTTCCCTTAGCTGCAAATGCACCACTCACAGCAAGGGTTAGTAAGTAACTACTCATCTGTGTGTCTGCAGGCTATTGTAACTGGGGTGTACCTCACTTTGTGTGATACTTTGGAGGTGAAAATCCCCAAGAGTGCTAAAGCAAATCCTTAGATGCTGCCAGGAAGGCCCTTGAAGTCCTCACACCTTTCAGATTTCATTTTAATCCACTGATCTTGCAGGATCAATTCTTCCTACAAATCCAAGAGGCAAGGCTGGGCTGGGACATGCATGGAGCTATTCCAGGTACAGCTCCCACTGCACATCCCTGCATCCTGCACATCCCTGCATCCTGTACATCCTGCATCCTGCACATCCCCTGCATCCTGCACATCCCTGCATCCTGCACATCC